CAACTTGTTCCAGTGCTCTGTTTCACTTAGATAAAAGATGTTTTTTTCTCATATTCAGATGTAATTTCAGATGTTTTTAAGTTTGTGTCCATTGCCTCTTGTCTTGTTGCTGGCCACCACTGAAAACAGTCTGACCCCATCCTCTTGACACCCTCTCTTCAGATATTTGTATACAATGATCAGATCTCCTCTTCTCTAGCTTGTTTTATGAGGATGTTATGAGAGACAGTATCTGTGCTCCCAGACCCATGACCACCATCTCGAGAGCTCTGAAATCCTGTTTGATGGTTTCCAATTTCCCCTTGGTATCATTACTGCACAGATGGAAGAACAGCAGGAGAGTAATAGAAAAAAAAAATATATATATATATTTTCAAGCCCAGGTTAGTTAATGCTGTTCATTTTTGCAAGGATATTTGTACAGGGCTATCTGATTGTTTGTATCTGGCTGGAAATACTTTGGGTTTCAGGATGGAGCAATTTGGCTGTGCAGTGCTTGATTGCTGCTCTCTGTGGGAATTGTGAAGTATTCTGAACTTGATCTTTTCATATGTCCTGGTCCAAGATCCTGGCCTCCAGCTGTGCAAGAGCTCTGCTCAACAGCCTCACAGGAGGGAAGGCGGATGGACAGCAGAAAGCATACACTGTAAAACATAGACTGAAATAGAGGACAATTTAACTATCCTTATTAATATTCCGGACCAGACTCGACTCATTCTCCAGGTCCTTTTGTTTTGCTGCAGGGATACCCAGGGATGGTAAAATAAGTGGGTAGCGAAGAATTTTCTCAATGTGAAGGAGGGCTCATCCAAGTGGAGAAGACATAGTTATTCCTCTTGCTGCTTTCCCCAATGTGGCTGTGTGTTGAGGCATGCCAGAGGCAGAACAAGAATTTGAGGCACTGATGAACAGTTCTGCTGGCAGTGCTCTGTGTAATGCAGCCCGGGCTGCTGTCAGCTGTCTTTGCATGAGGGCACCTTGCTGGCTCGTACTTAGCTTCTTGTTCACCCGAGGTCCTTCTCTGCAAAGCTACTTGCCAGACAGTTGGTCACCAGCCTATATTGGTGCATGGGATTATTTATTCCCAAGTACAGAATTATACCTCTTTCTTTCTTGAATTTCATGCATTTTTGTTAACTCAATCTTCAATCTCTCTGCATTGCAGCACAACTATTTGGTATACCAACCACTCCTCCAAATTTTGTATTATCTGTGAAAACTTGCTGAGCCCACACTCCATCCTATCTTCCAGGTGAAGTTAAACAGATACTATCTGTTTACCTAGGTTGATACTACATCACTACTACATTAAACCATAAGTGAGTCACCTCCATCTAGACTTTGTGCTGCAGATCACAATTCTCTGAACCTAGCAGTTCAGCTAGTTTTTAGTCCTCCTCACTCTTCACTTATTTAGTCTGTAATTTATCAGTTTGTTTGAGAATGTTATGGGAGACAGTGTCAAAAGCCTTGTTGAGATTGAGATGAGCAATATCCACTGTTGTCCCCTTGTTCACGAGGCCAATCTTCTCATTGTAGGTGGCTTTCAAGCTGGTTGCAGCTAAGCATAATGTGCCCTTCATAAACCCCTGCTGACTATTCCCTTTGACACTCTTCCGTTTATCTGGAAATGGCTTCTGTTTGTGCCATCATCTTTTGAGGGACCAAGTGAGGCTTATTGCTCTGTAGTTCCCTGAATTCTCCGTCTTTATCCTTTATCAGCAGGTCTCCTGCCACAGTCAGCCTGCATTTTCCCCAGTCTTCCTTCTGCTACTAATGTACTTGCAGAGGCCCTTCTTGCCTTTCATGTCTTCAATTCCAGATGGATTTTGGCTTTCTCAAAACCATTCCTGTGTGCTCACAGAGCGACTCTATATTCCTTTGGGCTCACTGTCCCTGTTTGCTTTTGATTTTTGAGTTTTGTCAAGACTATGGCAAAGACTTCTTGCCCTCTTTTCATGATTTCCTGCATTTCAGGTTCATGAGCTCAGAGAAGGTGATCTTTGCTAATCAACTAGTTCTCCTGAACTCTTTCGTGATCTGTATGGGATTCTTCCAAGCAGATATCTGATTGGTCTTGGAGTCCAGGGTTCTTGTTTTTGTTACCAATCAAGTTCTGTACTAAGTTCTGTAACTTTGAGCTGCACCACAGGCAGTTCATAGGAATGTCTCAGACTGGTATTTGGCTGGCTCAGCACTGAAAAGATTGTAGCATTTTGCTTCAAATGAAGCAAATGAGGCCATGAGTAGATTCAGGTTAAAATTCTGTGTGGACTGACATGTAGCTGGATTTGATTTGTAGACTACCTCATTACAATGACTCTTGATATTACTGCTAGCACCTGTCTACAGCAAACACATCCCTGTAGGCAATACACATGTGAGCGAGATGGAGTGTGTGTCTGTTGTCCTTCTAAGTCTCACATTAATCAGGTAGGTGAGGTGAAGGAGGCTGCTGATCACATGGAGTGTGTGGAGCACTAGCAGTGGACTGCTCAGGATATATAGTGTTAACTTGCTTGCTTCCTTCTGAGCATCAGTAAGCTCAAACTGCTGTGCAGGGCCAATGAGATGTGGAAGCAGTGATATAGTGGCTGCTATGAGTGGACATTTCTTTAACAGATTGTTATAAATTCTAAAGGCAGGCTGGGACCACATTGAAATGTCTCATGACAAATGGCTGTTCTTACTTAATATGCTGAACTGAAGGTCTTGCATCTTTCCTAAGGGGAATTGAATTCAGGTAGTTTTTAATGTATGGAATTGAAACTTGGATAAATGGATTTATTAGATGGAATAGAGCTATGAGATCTCTCCCTGGAAAGTGAGACTGTGCTGTCATTGTACTCTGAGCTTGTCAGGGCTTTCTCACATGGTGTCAGTGCTGGCAGTGGTTGCATGACCACCCTTTCAGTCAAATCTGGCTATTATGGGAAGAGAAATGTTGGCAGACATAGTGATGTCGATGATGTGAATCCCTGTGTGGCTGTGTAGGCTGATGTGATATACCATATTTATACCATAAAAATTGAAATTTATATGTGAGGTAGAGAACAACAAAAGCCTGAGTGACAGACACATAGCTGATGTCTGACCAGTGACAAAAATGAATAAAATACGTTTTAATTCAGCTTTCTACTTCGTTAGCTACAGACATGCTACAGGCCACAGTCAAAACAGACAGAGGGTGGCTGTGGACAAGCTGGAGCACTGGGGACCATCAGAGTACAAAGAGCAATGATTTTATAAGTCTCTATCTAGCTATTGGTGTCTAGGGTAGGATTTTTGAAAGTCCCGAAGAGGTGGGAAATTTTCTTTTTTTTATTTTTTTTCCTTTTACATATTACCACAAGTCCAAGGGTTTGTGTTGTTTCGTGGTGTAAATTTGCTTTACCTCAATGCAGCTTATCCTTCTTCTGAATGATTAATCTGTAGTGATATGAATACCTTTCATATAAGCATAATTACATCCCAGACAGGAAGGTTTTACTCCACTGCAGTAGGAAGCAGAGTCAGTTGTCTTCCTAGATTACTTCGGAAGTTTGGGTGAAATGCAGATTATTGCAAGTTAAGCAAGGGGAAGAATTTTGTTTTTTCTTTTTGTTGAAGATGGTACAGACACAAGGACAGCAGAGTGCAGTCAAACACAAATGAATAAATACTGGGTTGTCTGGCACTTCAAGTGCAAGACGGATATTCTTTGAGACTAAGGACCTAGTTTGATCACACAACAACTGCTGACCAAAACCATCTCCTGGTAGGAAGTGACTTCAGTTCTACTGTGAACTCGGCATATTCTTCCTTTCTGTGAAATAGTATTAGTGGTCAGCATATACTCGTGTCTGCTTTGTAAATTTATTGAAATCTGCAGAGTTTATTTCTGCTTATCCTTCACTTGGATAGATTTTAAAAATTCCAGAACTAGTCAGATTGATAAAATGTCTTTGTTTCTTTTAGAGAAAAAGGAAATAGAGAGGGGGAGAACAATTGATTCAGAATCCAGGAGAGTCAGTGATACAGTGCCTTTGCTTGATCCAATAGCTTTAGCTTTCAGTAAGAAAATTAGAGGAAAATAAAGTTTAAAAAAAAAAAAAAAAGTATGAGAAGTGAGACATACATTTACTAGGAGAAAAAAATATTAAAAACAAATACCACATTAACTTAATGAGAAATGACATTTTAGAGTGGCAGTTTGTACAATAGTGCCAGATTCTGTGCTAGGTCTCTTTGTGAATTTCTTCTACCTAACCTACCTAAATTTCCTCTACTTATGCCATGATGGAAATTGCTGCAGATGGTAATGTTAATATATTAACTTTCATTTCTACTATTTCCTTGTTCCCATGTGCGCTACAGATTTGTCAGAGCAGCACGTACTCCCTACTCCTTATCCTATCAGTGTTAATGGGTTGGAATGACCCTGCTCTGATGGCTCCAGGCCAAGCTTCAGTTGCCTTAAAGTGTACCTGGATGTCATCTCAAACAAAAAAGGGAAAGGTTGACAGTGCCGAAGAAACAAGTGAGCTTTCTCACCACACTCTGGAGTTGCTTTTGCATTCAGAGGAAGCCAAAGACTAATAGAAGGGAAGCAAGGGAAGGAGGGGGATGCTGTGTGCCAAGCTTTCTTCCAGCTCTCCACTGAGCCATGACCCGGTTTCTCCAGGAGCTGCCTGCTGTTTTCTTATTTTGGACCAAGATCCTGAGACAATGCTTTGCATGCCAAACAGGGGCAGCCACTCAGATAGGAAGGTTTCAGAACTGGACATAAGCTGCACTTTCCATCTTCTCCAGCTCTTTAATCATTCCTTTTTTTTTTTTTTTTTCTCATTCTATTTTCCCTTTTCCTGTTTAGAATGAAGAAACAGAATTAGTTGCATGCAGAAACTAGAAAATGCGATAGATGGAGAAGAGCCTCCACTTTCATGGATATTGACTTAAATGTATTTCAGTGACTGCTACATGCCATTTTTTTATGGTTGTTATTGTTGTTATCTTGACAGAATCCAAGAAGAAGAAAAAGGAAGGCAAGAAACAAGAGAAGATGCTGGATTAATAGAGCCAACTTGGGCAGTGCGAGAAAGGGACATCAGGAAACGATCAGTTAACGGTTTCATTTATACTTAGGCATTTTATCCTAAAATTATTTATAGCTTAATGGTACAATAGAAGGAAACAAGCAAACACACAGAAAAAAAAAAAAAACCCTTTTTTATTACTTTAGTATTTTTAATGTATAACCCTAACAACAATTTTTAGAGGCCTGCAATAAAGGACTCCAAACTTATCTAGAAATTTACATCTATTATATATTGAACAATGTAGAATTTTTAAAAACATGTTTTCTCAAATATTGCTGTAGGTCTCAATCTTGTAATTACTCCATGCAAGCAGAACCTGAACCTGTGTAGAGGCCAGCTGAAGCCAGTGGTGCCCTGTGTGAACATAGGGGTCTGTCTGGATGCAGTTATATTTAAGATTGGGAACCATTTGTCTGAGAGGAAGGAAAAAAACAAGACTTTCTTAAGTTCTTACTACATCTAAATAACTGTATGAAATCATAAGTTCAAGAAAAGGATGGGGGCATTTCATTGAGTATTTGTAGGAATTTTTTTGTATGTGTTGTGAATGTTCATTCCAAAATGCCACCATTTCTGGGCAAAACATCAGTAGCACTGCTTCTATTCTTGGTTGTACTTTTCTTGTGTGCAGGAAAAACTCTTGAATACTTTCTTTCAGTGGCTGGATATAGCAGAGTCTTAAATTTTCATGATTTTGAAGCAGGCTAAAAAGGATGTTTTTTTAAAAAAGTGGAATGATAGCGATACTCTCTGTTTTTGCCATATCTACACTGGTGGATGATAGAGTCTTCTGTTTTATCTGCAAGAACAGAAAATACTTACTTTTGTTTGTTTATTTTGCCAGCAGGGAAACTACCCTTTTCACATAAATCTAGTTGAAAGGGTTGTGATTCTGCCTGACCCAACTCCCTTTTGTATCAGCAGGAATCTTCCTGTTGATTTCAATGATAGGTAGCTGAAAAGTAGGAAGTATACATGTCTGGTGGAAAGTAGCAGAAGAAATTGGTTTGGATAGTACACATTTTTGACCAAGAAAGAAACAATTTGAGGGGTCCTGAAAATAGTCAAATCAAATTAATTTTTATTTCTCTCTTAGTAAAACAAAAGGGAAATGACAGAACAGCATCTTTTGTTTTCTTCCATTCTCCAATTTTGGAAAAAATCAAACAAATTAAAAATAATTCTGTGAAAGATTTTCTTTTCAAAACAGTCCATGGAGGAAAAAATATATACATATAATCAGTTGGTTTTCATTCTGCTCCCTTTTACCTGAGTATTTCAAATAACCGTGAATCCTGAGAAAAGTCAAAAATAGAAAAAGATCTAAAAAAGGGCTGGTAGAAACAATTTTACAGAATTATTTTACAAGCTAAGCAACCTTCAGCCTAGCCTTCTTAGAGGAAACTTAGATGATTTCAGCGCACTGTTTCATTTCAAAATAATTTCTTTTAAAATCTAAACATTATATTTCAATGGCAAGATGTAAGCTGTGCCATCTCTGCAGACCCCAGGCCTGCCTTCTGATAGGGTCCCTTGTAGAAGACTTCCTTGCAGAAATCTGTTGACTTCAGTGAAGCTGCAGTGAGGTACATTTATATGAGTAAAGCATTTGCTCTTTGGGATGTTAGCTTGTAGAGCCAGCAGAGCTAGACTAACTTCTCATTCCTCTTTTCTGTGCAAAAAGTACTCCAAGACTTGCCTGGTTTTTGCTTGTGTGAAGGGAACCACTGATCTGAACTCACAATGAGGCAACTCCTGTAGACATTCCCAAGCTCTTCTAAAGTAAGTCAGTTTGCTAAGGCTACACCTAGCTCAAGATAGCTAGCCACACAAGTATTTCCCACTGGTGGATCTTGCAGTCTATGTTTATACCTTTCATGTTGTGGTTACACTACATATCTGAGCCAATGGCATAGATAAAATGTCCCCAATGTGGTGGATATGCAATGACCAAATCACAGATAACTTTTCAAGTTGCCATTTGCAAAGGCTTAGATCTAGGTGATTCTGGGTGCTATATGGTTTGTTCATGTCCTATTCAGAACCACTAGCGTTCATGCCTCAGACTTAAGCTAATGGTAAGTCTGATTAAAAGTGAGGAGAAGAAGGTTTTTCACTCACCAAAGGTTTGTCTGTCTAAATGCTGCATCACTTCAAGTGGTTCAGCTTTGACACAAACACTGTTGCACCATTGTATTACATTGGTTAACCTAGTCCCTGTTTCACAGTCCCTGTTTCGCAGGAGTTGGGAGCTGCTGAGACCAACAGTCTTGACTCTCCTTTAGCACACCTTCAGGTGTGACTTGTGATTTTCACCTCTGTGAGTTAAGAATAAAATATATTTCCCTGTGTTTATCCTCTGTGAATTATCCCTTATGATTAAATGTCAATTATTTGGCTTGTTAAAGGAACATTCCTAACAGTTTTTGAAGGAGGCCAGTCAAGCCGTCATTCGCTTGAACAGTTGTGTAGCAGGAGAGAGTTTACAGAAAACAAATAATAAAAAGAAATCCATCTTAGGACCAGAAGAAAGCTTTGGGAGGTCACCTTGTCTGACAGTGTAGTGGGAGTCACTGCTTCTAATGAATTCTGTGTTTTGCCCTTCTTGTCCATGAGGCGATTCTCGTTTATAACAACATAATGTAGCATAAAAGAGTGTTGCACCAAAGAATACAAAGTTTCTTTGGATTGAGGGTTAGGGTAAGAGATATTCACCACCTAAGAATCAATCTGCATCCAAGCCCTGGATTCCAGCACCTTTAAGTTTAGAGAGCCTCTAAATAGACTGAACCACACTCCTAAGCAATTAGGCTTGCCTATATCTTGATTCAAATCTGAATTTGGGAATTAGGACATTTTCTCATTTTGACATGTCTCCTGATAAAGATGAGAGATTGAAAGAAAAATCTTTGCTTGTCAGCTTAGCATATTTAACAGACTTTTAAGAGCAGCAAAACTGTTGCTTAAAGTATGTTTTAGGAAAAGATTCCTAGAAGCGAAGAGCATGCTGTACCTTCAGGTAAATACTAAGCTGTAATCTACCCATTCTGATCTTCTAACTCCATAATGACTTTCTGGATAGTACTTTTCAAGGGAAAAGAATGAGGAGAAATGTAAGAACAATAATTATATTAACTTCTCAACTGACACTGTAGAATAGATCATGGGGCTCTGTCCAAAAAGAGAAGGATACTGTACTGGGATCATTTTCTATGGACTTCTTTTACTTGTTCCCCTGAGCTTCCCCTGAGGAGGCAGGATAACCTGATAGGATGTTCACTTTTATGCTTTGCTTCATTTGTGCCTTATTGAAACCTAAGCAAATGTAGAATGTTATTACAATACAGAGAGGTGAAGAATTCCATTCCAGCCCTCAGAAGAATGTGATCACCAGTAGGCAGAGGCAAAAGGAAGCAGTACTATGACTGTCTTTTCTGTTTTAGGAGTGCAGATTATGATAAAGTTGATAGGAGAAAGCATTTCTTTCATCTTGGTATATATCCTCCCCATCATCAGTTGGTGTGTAGGTGGAGATGCCAAGTAATCTATACTTGAACAGTTCAATACAGCAGATCATTAGTTATGATGAGCTATGGGGAAGTGAATGCTTACCTTATAAGAACAGTCCTATAAAAAAAAAAAAAAGTGGTACTAACCATACTGTTAGCAGGGAGCATCTAAAGGTAAATAGTGTATAGCTTTCCCATTTCTTTAATTCTGTAACAAATTACCAGCTTTCTTTGAGTTTCTGCAGTATAGCATCAGGGGTGAGGGTGGGGTACAGTCCAGCTTGTTTTTCCAAGGATGTTTTTTTCTTTATAGAAATATTTTTTCTGTTCTCAGTTGCACCTGAAATCACTCTGCAATATTAGTGAAGTAGATCTACCGCTTTTATAAATTGAAATATTGGTGAGGTATACCATGTCAACATGTTTTAACAGTTTCACATCTCAAATATTTCCTGGAAGGGGAAAGAGTATGCAATGAGGGTAGGTATTTCATATTCCATCTCCTTAAACCCTTGAGGACAGCATTTTCTCTGAACTTCCGACTGTGTTCTCTCTTCTGAGAGACATTTTATCTGCTTCCTGCTTTCACCCTTCATTTTCCCATGATTTTGATAGTATTCGTAAATTTACTGTCAGCTCTGCTATGGAACTCTGCTTCCCACCCAAACATCTGGAGAAACAGTTGAAATCTTGCTCATGTTAGAGGGTGCATTTTCCATTCCTGCCTGGCTGGCCACAGAATAGCCCCAATAAGCCCTTGCTACCAATCACCTCTCGTAGCATCCTTTTAGCATTAAAAATAATGATAAAAAAGAACAGTGGCAACTTGCAAATCGAAAGATAAAACAAGGCCATGCTATAAAAAGACTCGGAATTCTTTGGAGGAGTGGGCTTTCTGGTAAAACTTTTCTATGTAGGTCAACCTGGGTTTGTTATGTATGTTTTTCCACTTGGTGGAAGAGGAGAGGCAGGGATGAAAGAGGGAGTGTGCTCAAATTGAAAAGCCCTTTAGCTAGGTAAAGCTGCGCCCTATCTTACTACTTCTCATGCACACAGAGCTTCAGGGATAGTGAGAGAAGTGCACGGAGAGAGCCTCTTCTACCCCCAGGATGTTTTCATTTGGAGATGGTCTAGATGATTTTGTTTCAGCAGTCAAAAGTTTATAGACCAAAACTTTACAGTTCTGTGTCTAATTGTTCCCCAAATGCTGCCCTTCTGCCTCTCTTCTAAAAAGGCAGTCTGCCATGTGGCTTTTTCCCCTCTCACCCTAATACAACCAAGATATTTGGAGGAAAACACAAGAACTCAACTATATTCCCTGTCATAATCTCATTGGTGAGAGTTGTAGAAGCCCTTTAGCCTTTCTACATGTAAACTCAGCTCAAAACTCAGATCATCTAGACTTCAACTTTTTTGGCTTTACATTTTCTTACACTTTTCTTCAAAAAAACAATGACAGCAAAAATATAATCTGAAAGCCTATGTCCTGTGTATGATTTTGCTGATAAGCTGAGGCAGGGTTCCCAACATGCTCCAAATTGGGGAGGTCATGCAAAGTTAGATTGCACAAAACTTCAGCATTAAATTCTGTGCTGTACAGGTAGGGAAACATCTAGCTCCTGCAGTGCTCTAACCCATAGCCAGCTTCTTTTAATTACACTGAGTTCCCTCATGCTTACTGCCTGGCAACAAGACACTATCTATCTTTTTTCAATGGATCATTCATTACACTGCCCATATAACAATTACATGGTTCATCTAGTTTTTTTACTGCTGTTGCAGAACTATCATGGTCACTAAGGGGGCTTGAAGCAAAATGTAGGCTAGTGTTCCTGCTGTTGGAGCTCAAAACACCTAATTAGGATTTCAGTATCGAAAATAGCATCTCTCTAAAAATATACCTGCATGTGTACTACATATCTATCTCTCTATATGCATATCTTACATACATATAGCCATATATGAAGAGGTAAAACTCTAATATAATATCCATAATTCAAAATGTGTCTTGCAACTATACTGCCATGTTTTAAAGCTCAAGCAGAAGGGAGAGCTATTTCTGTCCTGTGTTGTGTTACACAAGGGCAATATATAGGATGAAGAGATAGGTTTCTCCCCACTACCCAGCAGAGCAGTTTGAGGAGAATGATGCTGTCCCGTGTCACACCAAGTACATGGAAGGGCCTTCTTTAAAACTTCAGAGAGGAGGAACTGATTTGGTTAAGTGTGAATATAGAAGGCCAGGAAAAAAAAAAGGCTTTTTTCTCTGAAAAGAACAAGCAAGGAAAATGAAAAAGATACAAAAAAAAAGAAAAGCAAAACAAAAACTCTCTTGATACTTGTAGTTTGGGTGCTAAACATAAAAATGAATGAAAA